AATAGTGGGATAAGTCATTAATAGATCAATAGATAGCAATAGTAATGTAGTCGTCTATTGTAAATAATTATATGGCCACGTTTGTTATATAAAGGACGTGAATTAGCTTAGCTAGCTCTTCAGTTTTCGACATCTCTTTAATAACTATATATCTTCATATATATAGTTCCCTTAATAGCCTAGTTTCGAATACTCTACTTTGTAATTCTTTAACTGTCTTCATACAGTTATTAATAAACTCTTACGTGTCTCCATACACGTCTAAATTCATAAAGCCGTGCTCATGTGTGACTCGTGACTCCTGGTTGTTATTTTAATCATGTGTGACTCGTGATTCTTCCAGTAATTCCAGCCCTAAGTATCTTCATATACGTTTGAGCTGTTGCCTCTTTCGTAAAAGCCTTAATAAAACCTCTTGATAAGTCGTTCATCCGATGCCTCTTAACTTACCAAATCACTAATTCATTAGTCTGCGATAGACTAAACCATAGTTCCCGGAAGTTGTTCTGAGAGGTCGATTTCACGTGTAACATCAACAAATTTTAGAAAAAATTATTCATGATGTAGATCAAAATTTTCAATTAAATCTCAAATTTATGATTCCATTAAGCATGACAAGTATTAAAGAGTGTTCAGAAATCAAAAGTAATAGAAAATTAATAAATATCATCGCAGACAATCTTACTTGCCCAATTACTAAGCAAATAACTGGAGATTTTTTAATTTTAACATGTGGACATTCTATTAGTTGTTACGCTATTAATAAATGGAGAGAAACAATAACAATTGAAAATAGACCATTTGAGTGCCCTTTTTGCAGAATTGATATTGATTTAAATTCAACCTATAACCTTCCAAAAAATAAAATATTAGAAGGTTTATATGAGAAATTAGAACAACAAGGTTATTTTAATAAGTTATCTGAAGAACGGCAAATATTGCCAAATAAAACTTATATGGTAGAAGACAATTTATTTTTAAAATTTAACAAGTATAAAATATTTCAAGGTTCTATACTTTCAAAGTTTTCCGCACCAATTTTTCAAAAGGTTCAACCAAAAGTTATGCTACCGGCTTTTAACAAGGCAGCTAAAGCAGAACTACAAAAAGACCATGAAGCAGTTATAATGTGGTTAAAAACAATTCAACTTAATATAAACTCTAACCACATCTTATCCGTCACTATTAACTCAAGTTTTACAAATACATCCAAAAAGCTATTCAATTCGATGTAGAAGATCGTTTGCATCCTATAACCTAAAAATGTATTCTAAAGCTAAAGACGATTTAGATTTAGCAATCCAATTAAAGCCTTTAAAATCATTGGCCTATATTTATAGAAGCTATATATTTTATGATATGAATAATTATGAAGAATCACTTGCAGATTTAAATAAATCGTTAGAAATAGAACCAAATAATGCATTCACATTAGAAATTCGTGGAGATACTTATCGTATGTTAGAGAGATATGATGAATCGCTTGTAGATTTAAATAAATCATTAACGATTGAATCTTATCGTATAGAGAGATATGATGAATCGCTTGCAGATTCATTGATGATTGAATCTAAAATTGCAAAGACATTAAGAAGTCGTGGAGAAATTTATCGTATATTAAAAAAATATAGAAAATCGCTTGCAGATTTGAATAAATCTTTAGAGATTGAACCAAATAATGCATTTGCATTAAGAAATCGTGGAGAAATTTATCTTCTATTAGAAAGATATGAAGAATCACTTACAGATTTAAATAAGTCGTTAGAGATTGAACCAAATGATGCATTTACATTAATAAATCGTGGGAAAACTTATTATATGTTAGATGAATATGAAGAATCACTTGCAGATTTCAATAAGTCGTTAGAAATTGATCTAAATAATGCAGATGCATTGGGAATGCGTGAGAAACTTATCGAATGATGAATAGATATAGAGAATCACTCGCAGATTTAAATAAGTCATTAGAAATTAATCCAAATGAAGCAGTTGTATTGAATTATCGTGGTGCAACGTATTACATGATGAACAGATATGAGGAATCTCTTGCGGATTTAAATAAATTGATGGAAATTTTACAAAATAAAGTGCATACATCGCAAAATTTCATTTATGAAAATTTACTTACAATTTTAAGTAAGTCATTAGCAGTTGAACCTAATGATACGTTTGCATTAAAAGCCCGAGGAGCAATTCACCGCATTATGGGTAAGTATAAAGAATCCCTTGTAGATTTAAATAAATTATTAGATATTGAACAGAATGATGCCTTTACGCTAAGTAATCGTGGAGCAGTTTATCGTATAATGAACCAATATGAGAAATCACTTGAAGATTTGAATAAATCGCTAGAAATTAATCCAAATGATGCATTTGCATTAGATGAATTAGAACAGCTTATTGTCCATTTATAGGTTTAAATACATTATTAAGAACCGAACTGAATGACATATTAAATTTGGTATTAGTAGTGTAATTATTGATGAATAACACTTTTAGATTTAAAAAAAATTAACTGAAACTAAAGGCAAACGTGGAAAATTACGGGTTTCAATAATAGTGTATTCTAATAATAATAATAATAATAATGAAGCAGCTGTATATTTAAATGAAATTTCGTAAATAAAGTATCTCGTAACTTTTTTTTTATTTGAAATCATTTGACTTGGAATAAAATTAAGCTAGACAAATTATATATTATAATATATATAAAAAATGGTTCGATGCGTCGAAGCTGGTATTTTATTTTATTCATATATAAATGTGCCTACAAACTTTGTGTAAAAATTTTCATGACGACCGGCATTTTAAGCTCCTTCTGTATTGTAAAGCTGTAATGAATTAAAATCAAAGCAAAAAAATGACGTAGCGAAATAAGCAATATCGATAATAATGATTCAGCAGATATGAGTGTAGCCAAATGATAGCCTGCAATTCTAAAAATAAATTATGAATTTTATATAATATATTTTTAGAATTGCAGGTTTTCATTTGACGACTCCAATAAAGCCGTCAACGACAAGTATTTTAAAAAGTAATGTATGTACAGTAAATACTTATGATTTAAATATGCAGTTTAATAAATATATACGAATTTTCTATTATACACTGGCGATCATAAATAATGCATCAAAAAAAAAAATTTCGTTAGATCGAATTTTCTCGCGCAATTCCGCGT